AGGCCCGAGCAGAGGCGGATGATGTTAATGTCGTCGGGGTACTTATCCGCCTGGCTGAGCAGCGTCTTCAGCAGCTTCAGCAGGTTCACGGCGTAGGCGGCCGTCGCAAAGGGATGCGAAGCGACTTCAATCAGGTCGAGAAAGCTGAAGCTGGTCAGAGTGGCAGAAGCGGAAGCGGAAGCCGATGCGCCCGAAGCCGAGGTGGAAGTCGATGGCGATGACGTGGCCGTCGTCGTCTGTTGCTGCGCGGCAGTGGGCGTCGTCGGCGTCGTATCACAGAGAAACTCCTCAAAGGCCACCTTGCCGGAGGTCTTCTTGAGGATGCGCGCAAAGAACATGAAGAACTCCGAGGCGCAGTCTTGGTGGACCTTCTGAAACTTCAGCTGGTCCTCCTCGGCCAGCTCGGTGAAGGCGCGGTTCTTGAGGGTGGTCAGGATGAAGAAGGCGTTGCGGATGAACTGCGGGTAGAGCGCCGAGCAGTACATCTCATTGNGAAGGCGCGGTTCTTGAGGGTGGTCAGGATGAAGAAGGCGTTGCGGATGAACTGCGGGTAGAGCGCCGAGCAGTACATCTCATTGCTGTCCGCCTTCAGGTCGAAGGTCTTCGCGAGAATGCGGTAGGCGACGGTGGTGGTGCCGGTGCTCTCGTTGATGCCGTGCGTCAGCGAGCTGGACACCAGGTTCAGCTGCATCGACATCAGCTGGCTGACGAAGGGGTCAGAGGGCATGTAGTAGTTCTTTGTCCTAGGGTGGAAGAAGGAGAAGGGAAAAGCGTTAAACCCCAATGAAAATCAACCAACTCTTTCCCCACTTACCAGTAGATGCTCTCGGCAAACTTGAACAGCTTGAACCAGTACTGCTTCAGCTTGATCCAGGCAATGTTTCCCGCGCCCGTCTCAATGGAGCTCACCGTGGGAAAGTCCGAGAGGGAGTACTTCTCGCTGAGAAAGGCCGAAAAGTGGTGCACATAGGCGCTGCCATTGCCGTTGCTGTTTTTGTTCTTTCCAGTCCCTACACTTCCTGTTCCCTCCGACTGCACCTCCACGAGGGGCACCTCCATGGGATGGCCGGCAGAGATGAGCTCATGCAGCGGTCCCTGCCCGGCGCGGCGCTCCACATTGGCGTGAATGCGATTCCACTGGTCAATCTTGAGGAGGATGGTGTGCGGCAGAAAGTCGACGATGTTCGCGCTGATGTCGCTCATGCTGGTGTCGAAGCAGTTGGTCGAGCAGATGTTCACCAGGCTGCGGTAGAAGAGGTACTTCAGGTCGGTGGTGGGGCTGCGGCTGGGAGGGCCGGGGCAGGGGCGCGTCGGCGAGGAGCCGGAGCTGCTGCTGTTGTTGCTGTTGTTCAGCGGCCCATCGTAGATGAGAATGGTGTTAATGTCGCTGTACATCTTCTGAAAGAGGCCAATCATCTGCGGCAGGAACTTCTCGTAGATCAGCTCCTGACTGTCGCTGCTGAGGCTCTTCGCATTCGCCGGCGTGAGAATGGCGTCGCCGGTGGACTGCTGCTGCTGCTGCAGCTCCTTCGACGCCTTGCTGCCCTTCTTCTCCGACCTTTTGCTGGTGATGGTGCCACTGCTGCTAGCACCGCCTCCTTCGGAGACAGTTCCGCCAATGGCGGCCACCGAACGGGTAAACTCCGAACGGATGAGCAGCATCACCCGCTCGGTGAAGAGGTCAATGGCGAGGAGGGTGAAGAACTTGGGAAACTGAACGTGCGGCAGACTGAAGAGGTGGTCGCTGGAGTGGCTGCTGATCATCGAGCTCAGCTTCGAGTTGGACACCTTGAAGTGGTAGAAGGTGCGCACCACCGTCTTGAAGAGGCGGTAGTTGTACTGCAGCGAGTTGAACTTGGTCATCAGCTCGGCCATCGTCTCGTCGAGGTTCACCGGGGCCACCTTATTCTGGTCGGATGATTCTGCTGAAAACTTCAGCTGCTGCTGCTGCNCTCGGCCATCGTCTCGTCGAGGTTCACCGGGGCCACCTTATTCTGGTCGGCTGATTCTGCTGAAGACTTCAGCTGCTGCTGCTGGGCGGCGACGCTGTTGTTCACCTTGGCGAGCAGCTCTCGAATCCAAATGTACACGGCGCGGTTCTCGAATCGCGGTATCCAAATGCACATGTTGATCAGCTTGGCGGCGTTGAAGCGGCCCCCGTCCGCCGACCAGTCGTAGTTCTTCGACTCCACCTTCTCGGTGATGTCGGTGAAGCTCTGCAGAGTGGGGGGCAGCTGGTTGACCAGCCGCCACATCGTCCCAAAGCTGTAGTCCAGACAGCACAGGCCAAAGGGACCGAGCGACGGGTAGCGGGGCGGTTTCGCCGGAGAGGATGCGGCTGTGCTTGCTTCATTAGGACTACCACTGCCGCTAGTGGTGATGGTCACCGGTGGCTGTGCTGGATCAGGGGAGACATTGCTGTGGTTGTTGTTGTTGTTACCACCACCACCACTCCGCAGATCCACGTCGTACTGGTGGCCGAGAAACTGAAAGAGGTTCAGCAGCGAGTTGTAGAAGGCCTCGTAGCTCAGGTTGGGAAAGCCGGCCAGCATAAAGTTGCACGCCATGCCTGGGCAAAGCGGGAAAGAAATGTTCATTAGAAAATCAAAAAAATAAAAGGCACTCACCATCCAACTTTGGCACAAAGGAGCTACCCGAGGAGGAGGAGGAGGAGCTGCCGCTGCGGGCGCTGCTGCCGTAGAGGTAGCCCACGTCCATGAGGTGGTAGAAGCGCGGGTGGAGGATAAACTCCTGCAGACTGAGACTAGTGTTGGTGGCGTTCGGAGAGTTGGCGGCCACCGCAGCGACGGCCGCAGCTGCAGCCGCCGCCGTCAGCCCACCACCACCGCCCACACTGCTGCCATTGTGGCCCATCCCTCCGCCCCCTCCGCCGCCGGTGGTCGAAGCAGCCGTGGAGGCGGCGGCGTTGACGTGCGTCGACGAGGCCGTCAGCGAGGACGAGTTGAAGGAGGAGTTGGAGGAGCCCAGGTTCGAGGAGACGCCCCCTCCGTTGCCACCTCCTCCGCTTCGTCCGCCAGGGCCCAACAGGGCCGACTCCTCGCCGCAGCCCTCGCCCTCCTCGTCGTCGTCCTTGTTCGCGAGAATGTAGTTGAAGTAGTTGCACTCCAATCGCTTGTCGGCAAAGAAGAGCNGGCCGTGGAGGCGGCGGCGTTGACGTGCGTCGACGAGGCCGTCAGCGAGGACGAGTTGAAGGAGGAGTTGGAGGAGCCCAGGTTCGAGGAGACGCCCCCTCCGTTGCCACCTCCTCCGCTTCGTCCGCCAGGGCCCAACAGGGCCGACTCCTCGCCGCAGCCCTCGCCCTCCTCGTCGTCGTCCTTGTTCGCGAGAATGTAGTTGAAGTAGTTGCACTCCAATCGCTTGTCGGCAAAGAAGAGCGCGCTGCGCAGCGAGTCCACCGACTTTTCCGCCCGCAGGCACTCCTCCAGTTCAATCTTGGCCACGGTGGCGGTGTCGTCGTCCACCTCGTCGCCAGTGGCTCCACCAGGGCCGTCACTGCCCAGAGCGGCGGCGGCGGCAGCCAGCGCCGGCGGCGTCTGATTCCCACTAAGCAGATTGTGGTTGATCTGCTCAAAGAGGTAGGCGGGCGTGTCGTAGAGGTTCTTGCACATGTACTCAAAGAGGTGCAGCAGCCGGCCAATGAAGAGAATCTGCGCGGCGCTCACCGCGCGCACCTTCGGAGGTGATGCAGTGCTGCCCGAGCCGCTTGAGTTGGAGTTCAGCTCTGCGCTAATCTCGTGCAGCGCCAGGCCGACCAGGTAGAAGACGTGCTTCCGCTGCAGCAGCTTCAGGTTGTGAAAGANTTGCACATGTACTCAAAGAGGTGCAGCAGCCGGCCGATGAAGAGAATCTGCGCGGCGCTCACCGCGCGCACCTTTGGCGGAGATGCAGTGCTGGAGCTGCCCGAACCGTTGGAGTTCAGCTCTGCGCTAATCTCGTGCAGCGCCAGGCCGACCAGGTAGAAGACGTGCTTCCGCTGCAGCAGCTTCAGGTTGTGAAAGAGAAAGAGCATCAGCTGGGCGTGCTCCACATTGAGGTCCTCGTAGTAGACAGGGCACTCTTCGTTGTGCGGGCTGGTGTCGCCCTTCCACCGCAGACTGCAGCCCTTCAGCTGGTTGACGAAGCCACGCCAGATCTGAATGGTGATCGAGTTCAGGTCGAGCTTGATCTCCTCCTTCTCCCGCTGCTGCCGCAGGAGGATCACCTGCGCGAGGATGGCCAGGCTGCGCGCCCCGTGGTACAGCTTCCACGTGCAGCCCTCCACCTCCGGACAGGGCTTGAAGCCGAGGTAGGCGAGCAGCGAGTTCTGCTGCTCCTCGCTCAGTATCTGCATGGCAATGAGGTTGTGCATCAGCGAGGTGAGCGCGCCGCTGAAGCGCGCAAAGGTCTTCGTCGAGAGAACCGGGTAGGAGAGGCGGCGAGCCGATGAGGACTGCTGCTGTCCATGGCCTCCGCTGCCTCCTCCTCCTCCCTCCAGCTCCGCGTCCAGGTCCTGGATAATGTGCGCCAGGGCAATCAGCTGTCCGTCGGTGAGCATCTGCTTGAAGAAGGCCTGCAGGGCGTCAATCTTCGAGCAGATGTAGTAGTAGTTGAGGTGGTCCAGAATGGCAATCACCAGGCCGTAGTGGCTGTCCGCCTCGCGCCGCAGCTCCGCCAGCACTGAAGAGGCGGCAGCGGTGGAGGTCGTTTGCTTCAGAGACTCCTCCTGCTCCTGATGTTGCTGATGGTGATGCTGTCCACTGTTGCGATAGGCCTCACCAAGGAGGATCGTGTAGAGGTCCTCGATGGAGAAATTGCGACTGCCTCCAGTGCTGGCAGTCTCGCCCAGTTCGGCGTCAGCCGACTCCTCTGCGTGAGCACTTCCACTGGAGCCCTCAGAAGCCGCAGCAGCAGCAGCAGCAGCAGCCGCAGCGACACTGGCCGCCGAAGCGAGGCTGGTGGTGCGAATGAGGCAGGCGCGTCGGTAGCCGGTGGAGAGGTAGCTAAAGAGCAGCTGAATGACGTTCAGCTGCGAGGAGACGATCATCTCGATGCGCTGCCAGGCGCTGTAGTGCCCGNGCAGCGGTGGAGGTCGTTTGCTTCAGAGACTCCTCCTGCTCCTGATGTTGTTGATGGTGATGCTGTCCACTGTTGCGATAGGCCTCGCCAAGGAGGATCGTGTAGAGGTCCTCGATGGAGAAGTTGCGACCACTGCCACCTCCAGTGCTGGCAGTCTCGCCCAGTTCGGCGTCACCCGACTCNGAGCCCTCAGAAGCCGCAGCAGCAGCAGCAGCAGCAGCCGCAGCGACACTGGCCGCCGAAGCGAGGCTGGTGGTGCGAATGAGGCAGGCGCGTCGGTAGCCGGTGGAGAGGTAGCTAAAGAGCAGCTGAATGACGTTCAGCTGCGAGGAGACGATCATCTCGATGCGCTGCCAGGCGCTGTAGTGCCCGAACTTGTTGTACTTGAAGGTCGCCTTCGAGGTCGTCTGGCTGCCGCTGCTACTTCCTCCCAGGCCAGTCTGCGAGGCGCTGGGACTGAGCGTTCCACCAGAGGCGACCGAGCTCGAGCTGCCGCTCTGCTCCAAAGTTCCTGGAGCAGCGGTGGTGGCTGTTGTTGAAGAAGTACCCGCCGCCGCCGCCGGACAGGTGAAGCTAAACTTCTTGAGAAAGTTGAGCTCGTCCAGCGAGTCGCCGCTCGCCTCGTCCGACTCCTCCGAGCCGAAGATGGCCCGCGTGCTCTGGTCGCCAAACTCGAGGTGGAGGTCGTCGAGGAGGGAGGCCATCAGCTTGAGGGCGTGCTTCGCCAGCGGATTCGCCAGGCCGGAGGTGCTGCGCAGCTGCCTCTGCTGCTGCTGCAGACTCACTGCAGCGGCCCCGCTCGACTGCGCCTGCTGCTGCTGCTGTCGGCTGCTGTTGAGCAGCAGTTGCATGCCGCTGAAGAGCAGCCAGGCGGTGAACATGTGCGCATTCTGGCAGATCTGGCCGGCGACGCGGTTCGACTGCCGGAAGATCTCAAAGAGCGAGGAGTAGAGCGCCAGGCTCTTCGCGACAATCTCCGCGATGGCGCGCTCCTGCTCGTAGCCACCACCTCCTCCCTGCTGCTGTTTGGTAGCTTCGGTAGCCGCCTCAGTTGCTGCTGCTGCTGTTGCCGCTGTCTCTGCCGTGCTCACATGGGAGATGATGGTGAGGGCGGCGTAGAGGCAGGCCTGCACGGTGACGATCATCTTGGAGATGCGATCACAGCTGAGCGGCTCCAGCAGGCGGTTAAGCTCGAAGATGGCGGCCACCAGGTCGAGGTCGGTGGCGATGCGCTCGGTGAGCAGCTCCAGGTGGGCCGGGTCGAGCTTGGCGAAGCGCAGGTGGGCGCCCTCCTCGATGGCGCCCAGGTGGAGAATGTACGGGCGGAGGATGGTGTACGAGTTGACCAGATTGAGGAGGGTGTTCGCCCCGCCGGCGTACTGAAAGTACATCTGATTGTGGCTAATCAGGTACGACTTGATCTGCGCGGCGTGGCTCTTCGAAGCGGAGGAAGTGGATGTTTTGGTTCCTGCTCCGCTCAGGTCGTCCATGTTGCTGTCAAACGAATGCTGCTGATGCTGGTGGTGGTGGTGGTGATGGGCAGAACTGACTCCTGAAATGCCCGGAGGCAACAGCGGCGGCGGCGGCGGTTGGCTTCCAAACGATGCCTGGTGCGGGTGGTAGCGGTGGGAGGAGGAGGCCGCTGAGGAGTGGCCACCGCTGGACAACACCGAGGACGACGACGACGACATCGGCGGCGGCGGATGCAGCGCCGGAGGCGGCGAGATGTTGCTGTTCGAACTGACGATAAAAGGCGTCAGGAGCTGGTCAAAGAACTCCTCCTTGGAGTTGCGGTCCAGCGAGCCGACGGGCTGCGTCAGGCGGATGCGCTTCGTCGATGAGCTGAAGGAGGGCGAGGAGATTGAGGCCGTGGCGCCGGGCGTCACCACCACCGGAAAGGATCGAGTGGACGAGTCTTGCTCGACAGAGCTGCTGCTGCTAGTGGAGGTGGTGGTGAGGGCGGCGGTAGTGCTTGCCGAGTGACATCGCAACGAATCGGGCAACGGCTTGAGGGTGAGCATCTGACAGAGGCTGTAGAGCTCTCGGCTGGTGAAAAACGCCTTCTCGTACTTGTCACTGTCGCCGATCAGCATAAAGTTGAGAAACTTGGTGATGCGGTACTGGTGGCGTAGTAGTGAAACAGTTAAAAGTTAGTCCACCGATCAAACTTAAAAGCGTCCACGAGACAACTCACCTTGAGAAGGTATCGGTAATACTCTTCACTGTCCAGGGACAGACTGTGCACATCGCGTAGCTTTCGGTAGTAAGCTGCGTTGAACTCGTTGAAGTTGGCCTCTTCGTCCGAGTACGCCGACAGCTCGTTTAGCAGAAACTGAAGGATGTAGATGAGAATGTCCGACACGGTGGCAAGGGAGCTACGCGGAACTGTGTGGAGAGAGAAGGAGAAAAAAGTAGTTAAGATCGGCGTGCCTTCTATTGAGTGGAAGGGGATTAAGAAGGGCTTTGCCCGGCGTCGCTTACTTTGATTCGTCTCACTGAGCAGCACATGGCTGCACAGCGTCATCAATGGCAACAGANGTCCGAGTACGCCGACAGCTCGTTTAGCAGAAACTGAAGGATGTAGATGAGAATGTCCGACACAGTGGCAAGGGAGCTACGCGGAACTGTGTGGAGAGAGAAGGAGAAAAAAAGTAGGTAAGATCGGCGTGCCTTCTATTGAGTGGAAGGGGATTAAGAAGGGCTTTGCCCGCGTCGCTTACTTTGATTCGTCTCACTGAGCAGCACATGGCTGCACAGCGTCATCAATGGCAACAGATATGACTTTTCAGTGTTGGAAAAATGCGTGAAGTTCTTCTTGCTAGGGGGTTGAGGAACAAAGCGTTAGAAAGGTATCAACACACTGATTTCATCAGCATCAACATCGATCACTTACCATAGTTCAAGACTGCGGATGATTAGATTAATGTCCTGGCGAGAGATGGGCGCTTTGGTGGCCGCCGCAGAGGTCGCCATGCTCTCCGCGGAGCGGATGTGATCACCGGTGCCTTGCTCATCCTGGGCAGAAGTCGATGAGGACGACGAGGAGCCGGCGGCATGCTGATGACTCGCCTGGAACGGCCCAGTGAAGAAGTCAATCAACAGCCGAAGCTGCTCCTTGCTCTCATCCATACTTCAACCGGTGAAAGTGAGTGAAAAAGTGTATGTTGTGGTGTGTTGTGTCCAGCCGGGATGGATGTAGGAGAAAGAACTCGGCTAGGAAAGATCGAGAGTGGGAAGAATACGGCTGTCGCTGCCGCCGAATCCACAGGGCAACCTACGCGGAAATTCAACAGACAAGAGGAGAGAAAGCAAGCAGCGGTTAGTTTCTCNGTGAGTGAAAGAGTGTATGTTGTGGTGTGTTGTGTCCAGCCGGGATGGATGTAGGAGGAAGAACTCGGCTAAGAAAGATCGAGAACGAGAAGAATACCGTCGCCGAATCCACAGGGCAACCTACGCGGAAATTCAACAGACAAGAGAAGAGAGCAAGCAGCGGTTAGTTTCTTGGAAGGATGAGACAGCAAGAATTCTATCTTTGCCTCTACTTTGCCTCTTGAAAAAGAGAAGAAAAGAGAAGAGAAGCGGCGGGAGCAAAAGAGTAAATAGACACTCTGGCTTACCGGAGGATACTGCGTGATAGAGTGTGTGTGTGTGTGTCACGCGCACAGAGACGCCAAGAGCTACTCGCCGAAGAGAGCCAGAGAGCGAGACACTCCTCTGGCTCCTCTTGTTTGTTTCTTTCTTCGGGTGCGAGGGGGATTCGAAATGGCGTGGGCGGTAGATAGGGGAAAGTGGTGGTGGTGTTGGTGGTGGTCTCCTCTCGGATCGACGGTCATGCACTGTCTGGATCGGCGGGTATTNTTCGAAGAGAGATTCCCGAGATCCAGGAGAGAAGTAGAAAGTAGAAGACAACAATCAACCGAGGATCAACCGAGAGTGTTTTGGTGGAGAAAAAGTAAAGTTGACTCGATTCTGCGGCGACTGCTGCTGCCTGCTGCAATCTGCGCCTCTGCTCGGCTAACTCTGCTGCTCTGCTCTCGTTGTGTTGTGGGCGCTGATGGTCGTCGCCGAATCGTAGTGCCTGGGCAGAGGCGCCCACCGAGCGCCCGCTCTCGGCGATGCTCGCAAAGGCAGTGACGATGAGATGTCACTTTTTCGGCGGCGCGGCGCCGCTTCTAGAAGGTGGCGGAAGAGGCAGGAACTTGACAGAAGACAAACAACAATTAGATCGACTGTTTTTTGCAAACAGGACTTTGGTTTGAAAGAAGGACTCATCTACCGGCTTAGATGCCTTTCGCCTGATGATCACCCCCTGAGGCCAAAGAGGGGTTAAAGGGCCTTTTAAATGGCCCCCGTTCATGTAAACAAACAGTTCCTTCTTTGTAGAACCCTTTATGTTGGAAGGCAGGGAGAGCGTGAGCTGATAGAAAACTTTATTCAACTAAAGATAGAGAATAACTCACTACAGTGAGATATGCCACTCTAAATAGAGCGAGATAACAATGCTTGCAAGTTCCAAAATCATAGAGGTTCTAAAACCTAACACTTTAATATTGAAACGATTTGGAAAAGCATCTTAAGAGATCACAAAATTGCAGAAAAACTCCTGTGCTGCTGCTGCTGCTGCTG